CTCGAAGCTGCGCCCGCAAGCATGCGCAGGCTATCGCGGCCGCAGGGATGCACCAGCCAACGCCAAGCACTCATCGCAATCGCCGCCGCATGGCTTGTGCAAACCAAGTTGCAGGTGGGTGGATGGTACGATTGCGCGAGCAATGGAGTTGACAAATCACTACGAACAGACATTGACTTTACCAAATAGATTCTCCTTTCTAAAAAAGAATAGACTCTACCCGGCGGTATCGCCCCCCTTCTTCGGGTATGTAAATCATATGATTCTGACCACATGTCCATCCTAAATATGAAATTAGACTAGGCGTGAGAGTGACCCTGGGTAAGAGTGACCTTTGGTGCGCAGCTTTTGGGGGCGCGAGGGAGCCAAAATCCAAGGGCGCGGGCCGCTTATATCGCATCGCGCTCGGCGATCGGGGGGAGCCCGATGAGCCCGCACCAAAAGTCACTCCGGCGAAAGGTCACTGTTACGTGTAATCGAGAAATCACAATGTCCCAGGCCAACCGGGTTCCCCCCCTGAGGTCCCCTTGTAAAAAACACTATGCGGTGACATTGTTCGTTCTAAAATAACACTTGTTCACGAATTCCTTGCAAAAAAACGGGACGAAGTGCACACGCGCGCGTCGTCGCGCGCGCATGCCGAAATTCTTCAAAAACCTTCGGTGCCGGAAGGATTTCGCAATCGAGAAAGGGCTTCGCAACACTGATTTGCTAAAAAAGCTTACGCGCGAGCTCTTCGAAATCTAAAGAAAACCCTTGGTATTTCAATATTTACACAACATGCTACCAAACGGGCGTCGCGCGCGCACATGTCCAAATCTGTCGAACGCCCTTGCGCGTGTGCCGTCGCGAGAATCCACTGCAAAACATGGGACGACGTGCAGACGCGCGCGTCGTCGCGCGCGTACGCCGAAATCCTTCAAAACCCATCGGTTTCGGAAGGATTTCACAATCGCGCGTCCTCCAAAAAACCTACAAAAACACAAGGTTTCGCAACACGGATTTTCAACAAAAGCGTGCGCGCGCGCTCTTGCGGCGTCGTCGTCGTCGTCGCCGTCCTCCCTCCTCCCGCGTCGTCGTCGTCGTCGCCTACGTCGTCCTGTGTCTTTCCTCGTGTTCGTCGTCGTCGTCCTCTTTGGCGTCGTGGTCGTTTCCGTCGTCGTTGTCGCCGTGGTCGTCCTTCCTCCTCCTCCCTCGTCGTCGTCGTCGTCCGTCGTCGGCGTCTCGTCGTCGTCCCTCCTATTTCGTCGCTGTCGTCGTCGTCGTTGTCGTCGTCGTTTCGTCGTCGTCTTCCCTCCTCCCTCGTCGTTGTCGTCGTCGTCGTCGCCGTCCTTCCTCCTTCTTCGTCGTTCGCGTCGTCGCCGTCCTCCCTCCTCCCTCGTTGTCGTCGTTGTCGTCGTTGTCGTTGTCGTCGTTGTCGCCGTCGTCGTCCTCCCTCCCTCCTCCCTCGTCGTCGTCTTCGTTGGCGACGTCGTCGTTGTCTTCGTCGTCGTCGTCGGCGTCGGCGTCGTCGTCTTCGTCGTCGTCGACGTCGGCGTCGTCGTCGTCGCCGCCGTCGTCGTCGTCGTCGTCGTCGGCCGTCTTACTTCTCCGGCCTTCTTGGGGCGCTCTTGAGACGCCTCCGAGGGCTCCAAGACGACCCCGGAGCGATATCTGTGCTCGGTCCCGCATGGGTTTTACAAACCAAGTTGCGGGTGGGTGGGTGGGATGAATGCGCGAGCAGTTGAGTTGACAACTTCAAGTTCGGCAAGTGGAGTGCACCACATAGATTGCGTGCGGCATAGATCGCACAACATAGATTGCACTACGTTTAAAACACCACAGATAGTACCATTTCTTATAATGTATAAAACAACAGATCTACACACACACACACTTCACTCGGGGCGAACACGTTGCAGCATTGCAAGTTACACGCGATCCTGCCCCATCGCTCATCCTAAATATGAATTCGCGTCACCCCCACCCAACCAAAGTCCGGAAACCTTCCCTCACCCTCTGCCAAAAAACTCTGCGCGCACACTCGAAGCTCGACGATCGAAGATTTCCTGAGTGCCTGGAACCCTCCAGGCATTCAGGAAGCGACCAAAAATCGATTTGTTCGGAGCTGCTGTGACCTTCTTCGGCGTGTCATGGGAACGCTCCTTATTTCCTCAAAGGACCTTCGCGCGGGAAAGAACCGTCATTCCTTCCCCACTCCTGCACGCAAGCGTGCAAGCGAATCGGGCGAACGCGGTCTCAGCAGCCACCAGGGATATCATAAAAATGAGCCGGTCGCCCGTCCAGGCCTCGAGGCCCCGCCTGCTGAAGCAAGCGATGATGTATTGGTTTGCCGGGGAAGCGTCTGGAACAAGGCGCATGACGCGAAGCGCCAATGCAGTCTTGTATACATATGTATGTGTATGTTTATGTTTGTATGTACGTATGTATGTATGTGCATATAAGTGAGTGTGTGTGTGTATGTTTGTATGTGTGTATGGTTGTATGCATACATGTATGCACTTAGTATGTATGCGCGTGCGTGTGCGCAAATGTATATGTATGTTTGTGTACATGTATATGCGCATGCGTACATATATGTATGTTACCTGTACATGCGTAGTTAAATATGTGTATATGTGTATGTATATGGATGTGTAAATGTACATGTGTATGTGCATGTAAGTGTACATGTAAGGTCTACGGTTGCAAATGTGTTCGAATATTTAAATGTGCATGCAGATGTACAAGTATGTGAGGATGAACATGTATACTTGTTTATGTGTAACTGTATACGAACATGCATATACAAATGCATGTGAAACTGTCTATGCAAACTCATGTGTGCACGTATATATATATATATATATGTATACACGCACGTGTATAGGTTATGTAAGTGCAATGTACATACACGTGTGTATTTACATATGTGTATACGCATACGTGCGTATAGGTGCGTGTGTATGTGTATGTGTAAATGTATATGTATAATTGTATGTGTATGAGTATGGCATATGTAGATGTGAATGTATGTGAAGATCGAAAATACATGGAAATAGATACGATATGTGTACGTATACGTAATTGTACGTGTTTATGCATATGCGTGTATGCTAACAATGTGTGTTTAGATGTATGCGTGTATATGTGACTGTATAGTCATGGATGTCTTCATGCTCCGGCGCGGGAGTCTTGCTCTTCTCTACGGCACCCGAGGTCTGGCTCCCCGCGGCCGCGGCCGACACCAGACCTCCGATACGCCGCGACTCCGGCAACGGTGTGGACCACCTGAGCGACGAAGTGCAACGGGTCTTACGTCCACCTCGCCCTCCTCCTCCCCCTCGCCCTCTTCGCCCTCCTCCTTCCCTCGCCCTCCCTCCTCTTGCCTCCCCTCATCCCTCCTCGCCTTCCTCCCTCCTCGCCCACCTCGCCCTCCTCCCCCTCGCCCTCTTTCCTCCTCCCTCCTCGCCCTCCTCCTTCCTCCCTCCTCGCCCTCCCTGCGTGCCCTGGCTTGTGGGCGCTGTCGAGGGGAGGGGGTGAACCTGCGCCAGGAAGGCTGGCAGGCCTCCCTTACGGATAAGCGACGAAAAGATACGGGCCTGACAGAAGATGGCATAGCGACATTGAAGGGGCCCTGGGACACACAAATAAGTACACACAAATAAAAATATTCCCCATATTTTCACATATTTTCTGGGTTTTTGTCTTCCCCCCCACTTCCCATATTTTCCAATATCTTCTGGGGAATCGACGATAGATTGTGTCTGTGTGTTTTTCCCCTCCTGAGACATTCCGCGGTGGGTTACGCGGGCCGCCAGCGCGGCACGGTGCATCGGAAACGAGGGCGCTCACGCGCGACCTTGCGCGGGCAGCTTACGCGCGAACGTCGGCTCACTCGACCCCGTTTTCCTGCGTCGCTCACCTGGAGGTCTGGACCACTTCCACGGGACCGGCTTCTCCTCTCGAGTCGTCTCTTTACAGCCCCGTGGCCCAGTGAGGGAGCCCCCGCCGGGGGCCGAGGTGTGGCGAAGAGCTCTCCGAATCACGGGCCCTGAAACAACCAGTCTCATTTGTTCGGCGGCAGCCCAGGTTCTCCAATCGGAGGGGGCGGAGGGGGGAGGTGCTGGCCGATATCCCAACCTTCGCTTTGGGCAGGCCCACGTATGCCCGCGCGCACCAATGCTGCGCATCCCCTTCGGACCTGCGCGACCGACTCAGGTTTTCTGCGGGCCCGAGAACCCCAGCGATCGGCGGACCCGAAAACCTGGCTCGAAAATTTGCTTATTCGCCCTCCTCCTCAGCAAAAAAAAACCGCTAAGCAACGACGACTTCCCGAGCTCTGCCCTCCGAGCCGCAGCCACAGCGCAGCCCTGCTGCGCAGGGCGCCCGGCCAGCAGGGAAAACCGACCCGAGCCCAAAAAGACGCTGGGATGGAAAAGAACATCTCGTTGGAGATCGGGGAGGCCCGAGTCTTCTACCTCCTCCTCCTATTCTTATTATTATTATCATTTTCATTAGTACTAGTATTAGTATGAGTATTAGTATTAGTGTTAGTATTATTGTTATTAATATTATTATTCGTGTTATTATTAGTAGTATTATTAGTAGTATTATTAGTATTAGTATTAAAAATATTATTAATATTATTGGTATTATTACTATTAGTATGATAAGTATTAGTATTATTAATATTCTTAATACTATTATTAATAATATTATTAATATTATTATTAATAATATTAGTAGTATTATTAGAATCATTAGTATTAGTAGTATTAGTATTAGTATTATTATTATTATCATTCTTATTAGTAGTAGTAGTATTATTATTATTATTCCTCCTCCTCCTCCTCCACCTCCCCTCCTCCTTTTCCTCCTGCTCCTCCTCCTCCTCCTCCTCCTCCTCCTCTCCTCCTCCTCCTCCTCCTCCTCTCTGCTCTTCCTCCTCCTCCTCCTCCTCCTCCTCCTCCTCCTCCTCCTCCTCCTCCGCCTCCTCCGGCCCCGGGGGGGCGCGGTGCTCCTCGATCCACCTCTGCTGGCTGTTGCTCCACACGTGCACCGGGTCGCCGGGCGCGAAGCGGCCCCGCGGCGGCGCGCCCTGCGGCCCCGCAGGGGGCCGGCCGCCGTTCGCACGGGCGCGCGCGCGCGCGCCGCCAGGCCGAGTCGGAGGGGATGGCCCGAGTCGGGCGAGGCGGCGGCGGCCCTCCCTGGCGGTTTTCGGGCCCCTCGGGGCCTCCGGGAGGCGTCTCGTCGCCACGGCCGGAGCCGCCCTCAAAAGCGGCTCGGGGTGGGCCCCAGCAGGGGTCTGGGGAGCGATTCTGATCGGACGGGGGCTGGGCGGGCGCGCTGCCGTTGTCTCCACTGGCCCGCATCCGCGAGAGGGGGCGCTCATAGACCTCAGGCGGATTGAGTCGTTCACCTCCTAAGACGAAGCCAGGACGAGGATAAAGTCGGGTGAAGATACATCGAGAGTCTCTGAGATCCAGCGGCTCCGGAGAATGTCTCTGGCGCCGCGGCCTTCTCAGAGCGTTCCGGCACGCTTTGGAACGGACTTATCCTCGGTGCTAGATTGGCTATGCCGCACCCGCTGCTGCTGCTAGAGGATTATTGTCCCACGTCGCCACTGTAAAAAATTCAGTCTCGGGGGCACTGCTTCGTGGCATGGGGCCGTCAGGAAGGCATCTGGGAAGACAACATGCCCCTCGAACATGCCCCTCGGTGGAAGGGGATGAGGGGCCCGCGGAGTAAAGAACGCCCACCCATCGGATGTGCTGGTGGTGGGGGGAAGCCGCCTAGCCCGCGGACCGCTTCGCCTCCGACTGCTCCGCCCCTGACCCAAACCCCCGACGCCGCGATTCTCTCACTTCGTGGACCCCTGGAGATCTTGATCCTCCTGCGAGGTCGACTTGCTGTTCATCCCGAGCTACTTTCTGACAGCCCTTGAAGGGGCCCTCGAAGGCCGAGAATAGCTACTCTGGGTTTCTTGATAAGCGTGGGGGATACCCCCCGACGGGGGTCAACCTCGCCTCGTCGTCGCGCAGCGACGGGGGTCGGAGCGCCTTCAGCACGCGGTGGCTGCCCGCGACGGGTGTCGATGTGGGGCTGTCGGCGGGGGGGTGACGCCCCCCCGACGCTTATTAAGAAACTCGGAGTACATAGACGTGAATACATACACATACATACATATTCCTATTCGTAGATTTCTATACAAGGCCAGGGACGCCGGAAAACGCCCACACGCACACCCCACCCCTCACGAAGTTGGCCCACCCCAGGCCTTTCGGGCAACCCTCCAGACGTCCCAGGAGAACCCCACGAGTGCCCGAAGACGGCCCCAGAGGGCTCTAAGGGTTCCGGCGCGCTCCGAAACGACCCCAGAGAGCCCCAAGGCGGTCCACGACGACCCTAAAGAAGCCGTCATACCCCCAAAGATCGCTCCAAAACGTCCCAAGAGGCCTCCAAAAGCACTCCCAAGAAGGCCCCAAGAGGCAAAATGCATTGATTTTCTGATGGTTTCTGGTGAATTTGGGGGTTCTCCTCTTTTCGGCTGTCCGACGCTCGAAGACAGCAATCTCCTCGGCGTCCAACGCCGCCTGGGAGGCTCGAAAGTCGCCCCACAACCATCCGAAAGGGCTTCCAGGCAGTCCAAGAGAGCCCCAAGACGGCACAACAGGGTTCCAAGATGGCCTGAGAGAGCCCCATGACGGCCGAAGATGGCCCCAAGACGCCCTCCGAAGCACTCCAAATCGTGACCCAGTCGTTCAGGGAGACTGCGGTTGGAGGCAGAGTGGCCCGAGGAAGCCCCCAGAGGCCCCCAGAAGACGCCCAGAAGGCCTCCAGAAGGCCTTAAGAAAGCGTGAGAAACTATTGTCAGGCCCCCAGAGCCTCTCAAGGAGGAGCCTCCGCAAAAAAAAACTGAGGAGGATAGGGAGAATACGCAGGGTATGGAGAGAGTGAGGAAAAAGTAACATGGAGGAAGGATAACGAAAAACATTATCATAACGGCGGTGCCAGAAAAGGCAACAAGGAGTTATCGCTAAATTGTCGGCTTGCTTTTCCTGTCAGTCCGCCTGCATACCAAACTTCAAGGACCTAGGTGCATGGCGAGTAGCGCCAATACAGTCTTGTGTATATATACACACACAGTTATGTAAAGCGCAAAACAAAATAAAGAAGCGAAGAAAATGATATCAAAAAGAGGAGGAGAAGGAGAAGGAGAGAGAGAGAGAGAGACAGAGTGAAAAACAAAACAAAAACAAAAAACAAAAAAAGAGAGAGAGAGAGAGAGAGCTGGGGGGCGCCCCCCCCACAATCCTGACCCGCTGGGTCCGCGGCGCGGGTGGCCGGCTCCGCCGCGGGCGAGGCCACTCTGGCGAGCTCGGCGTCCGCCCCTGAACGGAGGGCCGCGCCGCCCCCTCTGCCCGAGCCCGGGACCTCTCTTGCGGCCCGAGCAGGCCGCGCCAGAGGTTCTCACCGTGTCCGGCGTCCGGGTCTTCTCCTCCTCCTCCTCCTCCTCCTCCTCCTCCTCCTCCTCCTCCTCCTCCCCCTCCTGCTTCTCCTCCTCCTCCTCCTCCTCTCCTCCTCCTCCTCCCTCCGCCTCCTCACTCCTCCCTCCTCCTCCTGCGCCTCCTGCTCCCTGCCTCCTCCTTCTCCCTCCCTCCTCTCCTCCTCCTCCTCCTCCTCCACTTCCTCCTCCTCCTCCTCACCCTCCCCCCTCCTCCTCCTCCTCCTCCCTCCTCCTCCGCCTCCGCCTCCTCCCACGCACCCGGGCCCTCAAAACTGACAGCCGCCGGACGAGGAGCCATACCCAGGAAGGGGTCGAGGGCTCCAGTCCGGGCGGCTAATCCGCGTCCAGACGTCGGCGGCCCTGGAGGAGTCACCGCTTCGTGCCTCTGCTCTTCGCTCCCTCCCTCCCTCAATCCCTCCCTCCCTCCCTCCCTCCTTCCCCCCCCCTCCCTCCCTGCCTCCCTCCCTCCATCCCTACCCCTGCCCCCGCCACCAGGAGGACGAAGTCGGGAAGAGTCAAGCAATAGCCAGGCTCGGTTCGCACTGCACCACACGCCGACGCGAGGCTACTCGAGGTTGGGCTGCGGATTGCGAGGCTCCCCGAAACCCCCGACCCTCGAACCTCGATTCTCGAACCTCCATCCTCGGCCGTCCGCGGACAGCCGGCGTCCAAGAGGGCCTCCGAGTGCCCCCGAAGGCCGCCGAGGGGGCCGCCGAGGGCCGCCGCCGCGGAGAGCGAAACGGCCGCCGCCGCGCACAAGGCCGCCAAGGGCCGCCCGAAGGCCGCCGAGGGCCGCGGGCGAGCCTGCTGCGGCCGGGGGCGGCGGCCGCCCCCGCGCCCCGCCGCCCTCGGCGAGCCCGGCGGCCGCGAGGACGGCGGAGGCCGTGGCGGAGGCGGCCTGGACCACCCTGGCGGGCGGCGGGCGGCGGCGGCGCGGCGGCCGCGAGCGATGGCGGCCGCGACGACGACGACGACGGCGCTGACGCTGACGACGACGACGACGACGACGACGACGACGACGACGACGACGACGACGACGACGACGACGACGACGGCGACGACGACGACGACGACGACGACGACGTCCGATGTCGACACTAACGCGGCTGGGGCGGCGACGACGACAGTCGCGACGACGACGACTCGACGACGGCGGCGGCGGCGGAGGCGCGGCGGCGGCGGCGGCCCCCTGCACCACACGGCCGCAAAGACTTCGCCTGCTCTCGTCCCCAGCCTCCCAGACGTCGGCGTCCTGAGATTTCGGGACCTCCAGCGGTGACCAGCTGTTCCTCTCGGAGGCCGGGCGCCCATCTCTGCTGCCCGCCTCGGGCGCCCTCCGTCGGCCGGGGGCGTCCACGAAGGAGGCGCCCGAGAGGGGAGGGAGGGAGTGGGGGAGGAGGAAGAGGGAGAGGAGGAAGATGGGGAAGGGAAGAGGAGGAGGAGGAGGAGGAGGAGGAAGTGGAGGAGGAGGAGGAGGAGGAGGAGGAGGAGGAGGAGGGGCTCGCAGAAATCAGGGCCCGAGGCGCGTGCACGGCCCAGGGGGGGAGACGAGGGGCGAGCTGAAGCAAGAAGGAGGGGGGCCATGCAGTCCTGGAATATATCCTTGCCCCAGCCGTGATGTCCGTGGCCCCCTCGTCAGCATCCACCCCCCCCTCTTGGACGCCCCTGATCGGGGGCGCCATCGTGGCCACAGATCGATCCGTATCGAAGTCGCCTCTGATCGACCCCCCTCCACGCCCTGGGGATCGTGCCTCTCCTCTACGTCTGGCCACCATGGTCGCCCCTGGAGGATCGGGGGCGCAGAACTGTCTGTCGAGGCGGCCTGCAACTGGAAAGGCGGAACTTGCGCAGGGGCTCCTCTCTCCTGGCAGCATCGCCGTGTCGTGTTTCCGTGCTGCTCCTCCTGTCGGTTTTGTCCGTCCGTTGTCGACCCCCCATCCCCCTCTCTTTCCTCGCTCCCCCACCCCTGCCTACGTTGGGTTTGGCCCGTGTGTTCCATCGCCGAGTCGCGAAGAACTGCAAGCTTTTATAATTTGGGGGCGGGCTTCATGCGACTTCCCAATGGTATTTGACCTTACCTGTACCACATACTTCTCTTTCCTCTTTCTACTTCGTCCTCCCCACTCCATCCTCACTGCTCCGTCATCCCTCCTCATTCCTCATTATCCTTCTCCCTCTCCATCTCTCCTTCGCTCCCTACTCCCTACTCCCTGCTCCGTATTCACTCTTCCCTCCTCCCTCACCACCCCCCCCCATGCCTCTTCCCTCGCCTGCCCTGCCCCCACAACGGCTTCCTCCATCCCCTCTCCCCACCCCCGCACTGCACCCGCTGTGCCTTCTCATAAGCCTTTTTCCCGCTCCTCCTCCTCCTCTTCCTCCTCCTCCTCCTCCTCCTCCTCCTCCTCCTTTTCCTCCTCTTTGTCCTCATCCTCCTCTCCCCTCCTCCTTCCTCTTCCTCGCCCTCCTCCTAATCCCCCTCCTGATCCCCCTCCTCCCCACCTCCTCCTCCTCCTCTTCCTCCTCCTCCTCATTATCATCATTATCATCCTCATCATCATCAGCATCATCATCATCGTTGTCCTTCTCCTCCTCCGCTTCATCAGCATCATCATCATCAGCAGCCGCAGCATCAGCATCCTCATCATCAGCAGCAGGAGCATCATCAGCATCAGCATCAGCATCAGCATCATCATCAGCAGCATTATAATATGCATCGCTTGCGTCTTACTATAGTGTTGCATTATGGTTGTTAAAACTACGAGTATCATCATCAACATAATCATTACTAGTATAACCGTTACTACTAACATCACGAATGCTAGTATTCGTATTACTAGTGCTAGTGACAGCAATGATAGTATTACGAATGCTAATGGTATTAATGCGATTGACAATAGCAGTGGGAAAAAATAATACGAATATGTTTCAACAAAAAAATATAAATAATGAGAATGTCCTACTTCGTCTGAATAGTAGTCGTATCATTATTAGTGTTCGCCGCATTCTTGCATCATGGGTAGTATTCCCCATATCCTAAGGATTGGGGTTCTTGTTATTACTCTGACGCCTCCCACTCCTCCTCCTCCTCCTTCCTCCCGCTCGCGCATCCCTCCTCCCAATGATAATCACCAGATAAGACAAGACAAGATAAGATACTACAAGATAAGATAAGATAGCACAAGATATGATAAGGTAAGATAAGATATATGGCAAGGTATGATAATAGATAAGATAAGACAGCCTATGGAGTAATAAGATAAGACAAGATATGATGCGATAAGATGAGTTGATATAAGATAAGCTAAGACAAGATAAGAGATTTCAAGATAAGATAAGATAGAGGGTAATAAAGGTAAGATAAGATAGGACTCGATAAGATAAGATGAGACTCGCTCTCACTCAGACTCACTCACAGTCACATTCACTCACACTCACACTCTGACATGATCACAAAACGCTGCCAGGGGCATCATTTGGGAGCCCCAAGGGGGAGCCACCCTGGCTGATCTCACGAGCCCGTTCGCGCCGATTTTGGTGGGACGTCTCAGCTAAAATTGCCGTTTGGCCTCCCCAACATGTCTCTCTTGAGAGCCTCATGCCAAGGGGGAGCCACCCTGGCTGATCTCACGAGCCCGTTCGCGCCGATTTTGGTGGGACGTCTCAGCTAAAATTGCCGTTTGGCCTCCCCAACGTGTCTCTCTTGAGAGCCCCATGGTCACAAAACGCTGCCAGGGGCATCATTTGGGAGCCCCAAGGGGGAGCCACCCTGGCTGATCTCACGAGCCCGTTCGCGCCGATTGTGGTGGGACGTCTCAGCTAGAATTGCCGTTTGGCGCCCCCAACATGTATCTCTTGAGGGCCTCATGGTCACAAAACCTGCCAGGGGCATAACTGGCTGATCTCACGAGCCCGTTCGCGCCGATTTTGGTGGGACGACTCAGCTATAATTGCCGTTTGGCCTCCCCAACATGTCTCTCTTGAGAGCCTCATGGTCACAAAACGCTGCCAGGGCATCATTTGGGAGCCCCAAGGGGGAGCCACCCTGGCTGATCTCACGAGCCCGTTCGCGCCGATTTTGGTGGGACGTCTCAGCTAAAATTGCCGTTTGGCCTCCCCAACATGTCTCTCTTGAGAGCCTCATGGTCACAATACGCTGCCAGGGGCATCATTTGGGAGCCCCAAGGGGGAGCCACCCTGGCTGATCTCACGAGCCCGTTCGCGCCGATTTTGGTGGGACGTCTCAGCTAAAATTGCCGTTTGGCCTCCCCAACATGTCTCTCTTGAGAGCCCCATGGTCGCAAAACGCTGCCAGGGGCATCATTTGGGAGCCCCAGGGGGGGTCCACCAGGGGCTTCAGTCACCAAACGCTGCCAGGGGCAGCATTTTGGCTTCCCAAAGAGGAGTCGACCCGGGCCTCCTAGTCGCCAGACACTGCCAGGGGCACCATGGGATTCAGACTCGCACCCAGACTCACTCATACACAAGCTCACTCACACTCAGATTCATTTCTTCAGAGTCAGGCACACACAGACGTACCCATACTCAGACTCACCCACGCTCAGGCTCACCTAACCCAGACTCCGTCAGAAGCCAGTAGCGAAGAGAACAGAGGAGAGAGAGAGAGAGAGAGAAAAAAAAAAAAAAGAGAGAGAGAGAGAGAAGAGGAAGAGAGAGAGAGGAGAGAGAGACCGGGAAGAGCAGAGAGAAGAGAAAGAGGAGAAGAGAGAACGCCCGAGCGCGACGCGAGCGCGGCGCGAGCGCTAGCGCGAGCCGCGAGCGCGAGCGCGGAGCGAGAGAGAGAGAGATAAGAGACGAGGAAGAGAGAAAGAGAGAAAGGAAGATAGAGAGAGGAGAGAAGAGAAGGAAAAAGAAGAGAGAGAGAGAGAGAGAGAGGAGACCGGACAAGTAGGCGGACCAGGGTCCGTCGCGAGGCGCACTGCGGTGCGACAACCCGCAAAACACTATTAGCGGCGGTGCAGCCTTAAGATACGAGGGCGGGCAACAGACCCCCTCCCCCGGCGCATTGCGTCTGAAGCTACGGGCGGCGGACAGACTGTGAAGATCTCACGTGTCAGACCGCGTGACGAAGAAGGCCCCGACAAGAAAGGCGACGTGCTGACACGTGGCTAGGCGGCTTGGCAGACCGCCAGTTGGGCGCTTGGCCGCAACGCGGCGCGCAGGGACGGGGCACCCCCCGCCCCCACGCCCTGACACCGTGGACGCGGGGCCACGCGTGCACACGGGCAGGCAGAATGGCGGAGATTAGCGCGGGGCTCCAGGCGGAGCGCCGCGGAGCGATGACAGCATAGCAAGGAGGGTGAGTGGCGGCGCAGCACCATCGGGCGAGGGCGTAAGCAGCTCGGCGAAGGCACGCCCGGCGCGGTGGAGGCGCTGGAGCAGAGGGCCTTGACGGGCTTGAGCAGCGGCAAGGTCGGCGGCGAGAGCAACACACCTCTGCTGAAGAGCGGCCATAGACTGGGACAGCTCGGCTTCGCGGTCGGTGAGGGGCGGCTGCTCTGTGCCTGCGGCCGCGGGCCTCGTGGCAGGGGCGAGGTCATCGGTGCGCCTGGCCAGGTGGTGGACCAGCGCGGTGCGGCGATCCGTGTGCTGGCGGCCGTCGCCCTTGTGAGGCGACTGGAGGGTAACGCGCGGTCCCAGGGCTGAAGCCGCTAGGGCCACGCCCCGTGAGGACGGAGGAGCCGCAGCCTCGCACCCAGCAACAATAAAAGCGTGGACGGGGTGCGACGGCCTGACTGGCTCAGTGCCCTGCGGGGGGGCTGGAGCCGCCCCCGCGGGCTGGGGCTGGTGGGGGGACGGGGTGGGTGGCACGGGGGGACCAATCATGATGCCGTGCGAGGGCTCGGAGGTCGGCCGCGTGGTCGGGTGGCGTCTCGATGAAGCGGCATCGTCGGCAGCGTGGGGTGTCGGCGGGGCGTCGTCTATGCTGCCACTCAATCTGAGGGGATCATAAAGGTCCTCGTCGGCGTCTTGACGGTGAGCGACGTCATCATGTGGGTGCGATGTCGCTCTCGGTGGCGGAGTCGAGGTGGGCGTCGTGAGGCTGCCCGACGGGGCAGGGTTGGCGCTGGCTGGCCCGTCGTCCAGGAAGTCTAATCCCCCGCCGAAGCCGAACGGGTCGTCCTCCTGTTCGTCGTGCATCGCCCGTTGGGCTTCGGCCCAGAGCTCATCCGGGTTCTGCGGGATGCATGGTCCAGCCGCGGGTGGTGCCTGGTCCGACAGCAGGGGTTTCGGTTCCATTTTGCTGAGTTCCGCTGCTGTAAACCCAGCCCTGCGGTGTGGGAGCGGCAGAGTACGGTGTCTGCG